AACTCCTTCGTAGTTTCCGTCGAAGAAGAACGATCGTAAAGCTAGACGTCGAGCTTGCAACTTCTAGAGCTCGCAATATCTTTAGAGTTTCAAATCTACCAAGGCAGAAGACAGGTGGCTGCTGTGTTCGCGTAATTCACAAACATTCTCTCTCTCTCTCTCTCTCTTTATTTCTTTTTAGAAAAAGAAGAAGAAGAAGAAGAGGAAAAAGAGGAATAAGAAGAAAAAGGAGATTCTCCTTTGTACCTACCGGCTGTTATCTTTCGCTAGGCTATTTTATGACGTTTGTGAGGCACATCTTGAAAGAAGGGATACTGGACTCTCGCATACCAATCTTGAATAGCCATTTGAGATAGGCTCGAGAAACGATAATAGCTATTAGCATCATATTTATCAATCCCTAACCTAGAAAATCTCATTCCTTTGACTCCCATAAGTTTAACGAGTATCCAACTAACCGATGACCTCGAACGTCTAGAAATGCAATTTTCTTCATCCATTCTCCTTTATCTTCCGTTCGTAGCTGTCCTTCAAAACTCGAATCGTTACTACTACTATTACTACTACTACTACTACTATTACTACTACTATTACTATTACTACAGACCTTCTTGTTGAGATTTAAAGTCGTCCAGAGAGATCGAGCACTCTGTAATTTCTTAATCGATTCTCCAATCTCTCTGATATACTCAGACACCACACACGAACACGATAGAAACTGTTGAGTTAACATATTCATGATATACTACTCTGTTACCTCTCTTTTAAGAGCAGACGAACCTTCTTGAATCGTTTTCCTTTTCTTTTCTCTTCATCTCTTTTCTTTTCTATTTCTTTTCTTTTTCTGCGTGATTACCCGCATCTTTAAACGTCGGAGAATCTTTGAGATTGTCGAACGAAGCTTTCCTTTCTTCCTTCCTTTCATATTTTATCCAAAGTCTTACCAAAAGGTTCCCGCTATTTATGACAAATTATATGGAATGATAATGATTCATCCTTGAATTGATTTATATCGTTGAATATATTACAAGAGGAATGTTAATTAACCGCCTTATAAGGTCTTTTTTCTTTTTCTCTTATTGCAATATAAATGTTTCTAATGTCTATTATTATTATTATTGTTCGTTCATTTTAAAAGAGAATTTATTTTATATTTATTTCCTACTTATTATACTTACATTTTCTTTTTCCTTTATTACGAATGACGAACACTTGCTTCGATATATTAAAATAAATATAAATAAATTTATTTTATTGCAATTGAAAATCGTCTTTGGAAAGGATATGTAAATTTTTGCTTTTTTCTTCTTTTCTTCAATCCTTTTTTTTTTTTTATAGATAATCAAAAGTAAAAAAAAAAAGAAAACAGAAGAAGAAGGTAATATATATATATATATATTTTTTTTTTTAAGACTGAAGTCTCGATATAAACGATTTAATTATTAAAATTTGTATGATCGTTAGAAAATACTCGAATGTAAAATTTCTCGAGTGATTTTCATCGGTCGATTTAACAAAGCGAAGCTTTGAGCTAATTTTACATTTCTCCTTGCCTTTGTCATCGCCCTTAACGATGATACACGAGTAACTACTTGGT